AAAAAAAAAAAAAAAAAGTTAAAAACCCTGTTGACCTTTAAAATGTGTAAGTTGTTTTTTCTTTCTTTTTTTTAAATCTAGGGCTAGCCCCGTAAATTACATGTATATTTTCTGTGGGTGAGTAGGATGAGATTTACCTCCCAGGAGATGTGTATTTTCAAATTAGATAGCTTGGGTTGTTACCTGATTTACTGATTGACTCTGTAGCTTTGCCCAGTACTTTGGGGAAATGTTGCTTTGCGGTGGCTGGCACTTAGTAGATATTTGTACAAATGAAACATCCAATACTAAAATAGGAAGATCTTTCCTGGATGGATTGGTTGAAACTATTGATTTCTAGCTAGTCAAATTGTCAGTTTTATCCTAAGACCAAGCCAGTGATTTAGGCACTGACTTACCTGTATTTATTAATGTAAGAATTCACAATTTTCATACAAATGGTTGGTTTTTGCTATGCTATAGGTTTAGTTGGCATTACATTTTAAAATTCAGTTAATGCTGGAAATGGTGCACTTACATGGTATTTCAACTCTTTTTTCCATAGTTGTGGCAATATATGATTATACGAAAGACAAGGATGATGAGCTATCATTTATGGAGGGTGCAATCATTTATGTAATAAAGAAGAATGACGATGGCTGGTATGAAGGAGTCTGCAATCGAGTGACTGGTCTGTTTCCTGGGAACTATGTTGAATCAATCATGCACTATGCTGATTAAATTTTTTGCTTTTAAAGTAGGTTCTTATTATTCAGTCATACTGTGGGACTATTATGGTTAACAGAATTGTCTTAAAATGTTTTCAAACGTGCCCATATTTTCAGGACATGCTGTTTTATTGGTATAATTGAATGTCTACCTGTAAGCATAAGTCTTTGAGGCAGTTTGTGTATTGCTAAACAGCAATTAATACAGGAGGCTGTCCATACCTGATTATGCTTATGTACTTACTTACACAGTTAACTTTATGACCAGCCTAAGTATTCTGGGGGTGTGGGGTAGAATATTTAACAAATCATGATTCAGACTGTACCATTACATGTTTCCGTGCAGCATGGTTACTAACGCTATGTCAGACTAATATTAAAATCAGAAAACTTCAATCCTGGTGCTGGTCATACTTTTTGTTTAGACTTTCTCATTCTTGAAATATATTTGTTTAAAGCATGCATACAAATTTATGTATTGAAATATACTTAAAAAATCCAAGATGCTTCCAATTTGTGTAACATTTACTTGGAGTACTCGTACTTAGGTCTCTTGAAACGAATTGAGTCTCTAAGGTCTCCATGTGAAACAAAACAAAGGGTTATCTGTAATGTTGTAATTTGTACCTAAGTTTTTTAATGAGTGAATTTGCATTATAAATTTTTTCCATTCATAAATAAGTGAACCAAAGGTTTTTGTCCTTTCCTTCACTGGTTTGCTTTTAAAATGAATAAATAAATAAATAAAGTATACTGATTTATTGCAGAATTATGGTTCTATTTTCTCAATATAGTAACTGAAAAAAAAAAAAATACTAGCCTTATCTCAACCTGTCCCAACGGCAGTGATGGATTTTTGCAGATTTAAAATCTGAGATGGGTATTTACAAGTCAATCTACTGAATTCCTTTTCTAACGTAATTTTTTCAAAGCTAAGAAAATGTGTCAAAGTGTGCACATTCTGTTAAGTCAAATTCTTAGGGACTGCTCTTATGTCCTTGTTTTCCAGTGGGCTGTTGTATAGTGGTTCAATAAAAGGAAACTGTAAGTCTCGTTTACGTATTGTTTTTGTAGAAGTGGGTGCAATGGACTTTTCAATAGGCACTATTAATCCATTACCTGGCACTAGCAACATAAAACGGTTTTAAAAGGAAAATAATTCAAGAAACGGTGGATCATGTATTAATCAGTGAACAGGGATCTATACCTGACCAACAGATTTATATTGTCTTTTGAAATAACTAAAATGCAACACATGCACTTTGTGTGTCTCCTCTTAATTTAAGGGAAGGTTGGTGGGATGTTTTTTCTTATCTTGTGTGTAATTCTGTATTGCCTAGGATATTAAAGTAGAGCACTCAAGTGTGGGTTTCTGTGTATTGAGGCTTTGTTTGGATTTCAAATTGCAGTTATGTACTGGGCGTTACAGACTTGTAACAGCATAGTAAATGGTAAGACTAGTGCAAAACATTTATTTCTGAAAATTAAAGGCCATTATTGCTACCAAATCAATGTGACTGTTGTATATGATTTGCCTTTGTTAATTTTAAACATGATTTCAGTATCACTAGTGATCAGCTAGCCACCTTTTTCATTTTTTCAAGTGGAATGTTCTCTTAATTTTGTATATAACCTGTTGTCTAAATTTTATGTACAGTCTTTTATAATAAACCATTCTCATATGAATTTTGGATACTGTTAAAATCTTAACTAATGTGGATTGAGATGTAGACTTCACAACTTTGTGACCTTGACTCCTATGGTGAAACAAGATAAACCATTTGAATTTTAACATTGATTATTTATTTGTGTAATGGCTTTACATGTGGATCTTAACAGTGTAAACAATACCACATATAACCATCAAGATACCTCTATTAGGATTTACAGGACTAGAGTGACAGATTCGGATGGTTTAATTACATTTAAAAAGTTTTCTGAAAAACTTTGCCAATAAAAAAATTGCCCATCAATAAGGTTGAAATGATTTTCTTTAAATGATTTTTGGTTATCTGCACGTGAAGCAAAGTGTATTTCACAAAATTCCTTAGGCACAGTCTGGTAAAATAGCTGCCAGAAATAACAGAAAGAGTTGTCATTTATCCCTCGTGAGTACAATTTCTGAAAGCTGTATGAGGGCGTCTCTTTCAGGGGACGGTCGAAGTTTACTGATCTCTCTCACTGCTTCGTGGCAGTACCGCTGGGCGAGGTAGGTTGTCTGTTGCACACCGTCACTCTGCGGGGGCGGGTACAGAACAAGAGAACAGATGCATCACTCACTGGATCAGCTCCGAATTCCCTGCTATAGTAGAGAATTAAGATGTACTTTTGAGATCAGGTTGATCAACAGCCAAACTATGTTTCAAGTGTCCTCCAACTCCTCGGTTTAGCTGCTTTAGGCACTTTTCTCAGACTGAGGCTAACAAAGCAGCAAACTCATCTCAAATAGCCATCGCCTTTCCCTAGTTTTTAAGTATTAGTTTTTAAAAAGTTCTACATGTATACAGTATCAATTTTTAAGTGAAAAGAATCTAACGTTAAAACACAATATATAACAAAAGTACCGAGCCCTTATGATGAAAATCAATACTTTCCTCCCTCCAAAGGCACAGTCATCTGTTGGTTTTGAGGTCTTAATTAGCAACTTTAGTTACTAGCTATTGCCTTCCTGCTGAGGAGGAGGATTTAGCCCACCCACCCTAGGCCTCTTATTTTGATAATTCTATTGCCATCTTTTCTTAATTACTTTTGTCATCATGTAGCATCAACTTTTCACTTTATCTCCAGGATATCCTATCCTATCAAGTGCTCCTATTCTTTATACATTTACACTATAGAGATTTGCATTCTCTCTAACCATGTTTTTATGTTGGTTCTAAAAGCTGAACACTAATAAAATACTATTTCCGTAATGTAAAAATACATTTACTGCAGAATCAAGTCATGTACTATAATTTCATCTCCCTCTCCATGGTTCCAAGCTCACAAGGCCCCTATTCAGAATAGAATATTAGTAACATTGGTCTGAAAGGTTCTGATTTTCTGTACTTTACCAACTGACACAAAACAGGACATGTTTCAGTTTGCCCTGCCTTAGTGTACAGGAGCCCACTTATGAATGTAAATGCTTCCTTTTCTTCCTCTTTGGGAAAAAACTCCTGATCCCCAATCTTTCCACTGCCTTCATCATTCTGTTCATTGTTTAGACGGACTGCCTTAGCTCTAACAGACAGTTGTCTTCATCAAACTGTAGTTCATTCCACTGGTTTGAGTGCCTGCATCTTTCTCTTTCCTGATGTTTCCATGTTGTTCCTGAAATACATCCAGAGATAACTCAGAGAATGGGTACTGAAAGTCAACCTTATAGTTTTTTTAAGTTTATTTTGAAAAAGAAAGGAAATACACGAGTGAGGGAGGGTGAGAGAGAGAGAGAGAGAGAGAGAGAATCCCAAGCAGGCTCTGCGCGGACGTCATGGAGCTGGATGCAGGGCTCAAACCCATGAACTGTGATTATGACCTGAGCCAAAGTCGGACGCTTACCCGAATGAGCTACCCAGGCGCCTCAACTTTATAGTTTTTGAGTGATGACTTCTGCCTTCACATTTAATGGATGGTTTGGATAGAAAACTCTTGTTTTGAAATGTTTCCTCATCAGGGTGCCTGAGTGGCTCAGTTGGTCAAGTGTCTGACTCCGTCTAGGTTCAGGTCATGATCTTGTGGTTTGTGAGTTTGAGCCCCTCGTTGGGCTTTGTGCTGCCAGTGCAGAGCCTGTTTGGGATCCCCTCTCTTCCTCTCCTGCTCATGCTTGCTCTCGCTCAAAAATAAAAATAACCTTAAAAAAAAAGTTTCTTTGTCATTTGGAAGGCCTTGCTTTCTGCCTTCTATCATGTAGTGGTTTTGCAATACACTGAGCCAGTTTTGGTCTCTTCTCCTTTTGTAGGGGCCACTCTTTTCTTTGATTTTGTTTTTTTTTCTCTTCCTGAAATATGTTACTTCATTGATCCTCTAAAAGCTCATTTTCTTCCCTTGCTGTTTACGTTTTTGAAGATCTGCTCAATTTCACGTTCTAACCCTTCTTTGGAGTTTTTCACAATCAAACTTTCTTAGAGCTTGTTCTTTTTTTTTTTTTTTTTAATATCCTGTTCTTGTTTTATGGATACAGTATTTTTCAACCCCCCCTACTGATATTTTTCTCTGTTTCTGTCCATCTTGGTCTCAGCAAGCATTACTCAACTATTTAGTAATCCTACCAAAGAATCCAATCTTAGCCTCTTCATGAATGAAACAGGACTAAGACTCGGGGGTGAAAGGAGTTAGAATTCAGAGGTCTTTGGAGAATTTGTTAAGTGAACATTCTTGTACTTTTCTTTTTTTTTTTTATTTTTTTTTATTTTTTTTTTTTTTTTGGGACAGAGAGGCAACATGAAGGGGGAGGGGCAGAGGGGAGACAGCAATCCGGGAAGGCTCCAGGCGAGACGCCCAAGTGATGAGGCGATGCGGCCGAACCTCATCGAGCCTGATCGGTGACCTGGCTGAAGTGGGACAGCTAACCATTTCTGCGCAGCTAATCCCCTCTTGGCCTTTTCCTGCATCATTTCTGCCTGGGCTCGTTGGAACTTCATGGTTTTGCTAAGAGCAACAATTCATTTTCCCTCTTCAGTCCCACTTTTCACTTCAGTGGTTGGTGGTACTATTCTGACACCAGAACCTCTCCCAGGCACATCGACTTCTTTATTAGCTAAAGCCCCTTCTCACACTAAGTTTTTTAGCAGTACTGCCAAACTACCCTCCACAAAGGTGGTAGCAAATTATGATGCTTAACAGTTTAGAGAGTTAAGAGAAATCTATCCTTGAGAGGGGCCTTGCTTTTTGGAAATCTTAAAAGTTATTATTTGGAAGTCTTTCAAGTACTGCACTAATCACAGATCTCAGACCACACACTGGCTCACTAAAAATAGCTTGCTCGTCTCATTCATTGATCTGTTGGCCCCAAATGACTCTGGATTTGGAATTTGGAAATAGGTCATTCTCAAAATACAGTTATCGAAACTAAGTATGTAAAAAGATCTGGCTTCTACAGAAAAGTTGAGGATATGCGGCACTAGATGTGAAATAAGCTCACAGACCCTGAAGGTTAAACAGTCTGCCTGTGTAGGTTTTTTGTTTTTTTTTTTTTTAAGTTACCATTGATCACAGTTGTAAGAGGGACGAGGAGAGACCATGCTGGGTAGGCAACTGCAAGAGCCCGACAACCTGGCTGTGGCCGAGACAAGAGCTTACACCAGGAGGCACAGCTGGGTGACAGGGAAAACAGCAGTGCTACCAGTGGATTTGGGGAAGGCTGGTTTCAAACTAGTGAAATCCTAATATCCAAGCCTTACCCAACGCCAATTAAATTAGTCTTCAGAAAGACTTCTAGAAGGAAAAAGAATTATACAAGTTTCTCTGTTTTTGCCAAATCAACAACTGAACACACTTGGTTTTGCATCTAAAATTTATTACATTATTTGGCTAAAGAACTTTGCCATGTTGTAAAATAATCTTTGTAAGATAATCTTACCTGTAATACGTATTGTTGAGCTCTGTCCACATCTCCTGGTAAACTGAACCGTCTCATTATCATAGCATTCATTTCTGGGAACTAATCATAAAGAAAGAAAATCTATTTACTGCTTTTGTGAGAATCAAATGTTCTACCACTTAAGTTTGTAACAATAGGAAAAAACAAAAAGGTGGTTACATGTTTAGATGATGTTGGATGAGGGGGCCAGTAAATTGTAGCAATTAAAGCAGCAGAGCTAAGAGAGACACCCATTTCCAAGCCCAGGGACTGGCTGATGCTCAGGAGAGGCAGCTGTTGATGTTTGTTCATTCTGGGGTTCTTTCTATTCTATCCTTGGGCCCAACACTGAGTAAAAGAGAGTGAGGGAACAAAGTACATCCCTAACATCTCCTTATTGGCTGCTCTTCTGGTCCTCAAACTTTAGATTGAACCATAATCATCAGAGGCCTGTTGGACCACTCCCTCAAAGTTTGCCACTCAATAGGGTTGGGACCCAGGCACGCATTTCTAACAGGTTCCAGATGATGTGGGTTTTGCTGGTCTCTGCTAACATTTTGAAAAACACTCGCTTAGGATGAGGCTGGGAATTAGGCATTCTACTTTTAGTGCTAAACTGAGTGACACTGAAAGCTACCGAAGGATCTGAGCAGAGCCCTGCCTTAGCAGCTCGAGTGGAACAGAGCAACGGATGCTCAACGTTGACTGCGCCCTGGAGTCACATGGGAAGTTTATGGCTGCTTGGATCTGCTCCCAAAGACTGTGATTGTATTGGGTGGGGGTCTGTCCTGGGCATCAGGATTTGAAAAGTTCGCCAGGTGTTTTTAATGTGCAGCCAAGGTTGAGAACCACTGAGTTACAGGAGACAGGTAGAGACAGGTTGCTGTAGTTGATTATAAAGAAGACCAAAGTTAAACTGTGGCACTAAGAGAAAAAAAGAAAATGCATACATTGAAGATAAAAATCTATATTCTGTATTACTTAGCAATAATTCAGGAGAATTACCACCATTAACAAAATCAGGAAGTTAGGGCTCTGAGTCACTGCATCTTCTAGATGGGAAGCTCTAGTTCTGGTGCTGACATAGCTGAGTGGGCTTCAACCTGTGTGTCCTGGCCTCCTCCTCAGTGTCCCGAGGGAGTTCAACTATGGGAGCTAAAATCCATTAGCTCTAATAGCTTCTGGTTCCATGAAATAAGAGGGAAGATATATTTAGTTTTGGACACATCAGTGCTTACAGCAGTTGCCAGTTTTTCCCTGGCAGTGAGCCTGAAGTTGTTGTCCTGTAACCACCACCACGGTATTAGTAATCCTAGAAGAAAAAATAGGGCACACATAGAAAAACCTCAACCGGATGATGACAGAGGAAGAATTAAGAATGTTCCTTTCAGAGTCAAGTATGTGTCAGAACAAAGTTCTAAACACGTAGAGGTTGCTCACATGCTTAGAAAATGTAAAGGCCAGCAACTAGTTAGCACTTAAAACCAGTAATTTGTTTCAGTTAGTGACCTTTTAAAAGAATAAATTTTACATGAAACAAAATCAGGAAAGCTCAGATCAGTCAATTTTAGTGGTAAAAAGCAAAATTAAATAGGCATTTGTCTTAATACCACACTCTAAAACTGATTTCTGGAAGGCTATGCCCCCAAAGCTGATAATGATATTGTCCTGGGCATCTGGTAAATTACCTTGTTTATGGTATATGAGCTTTTCCTGCAACACCAACAAATATGGTAAAATGTGCTGCTTGGGTGGCTTCTCTGATTCCTTTTACTATAAAAAACATCGAGAAAGCAAAGTTTGAAGAAAATATTTGCATGGAGTGTGATTACATCCTTCCTTTAAACAAGTAGTGTGTACAATTTTAATATGCAAATACCAAACTCTTCCCTAGGCACTGCCCTGTCCCCTTACTGTGTAGGTGGAGAAATGAGAAACCTAACAGGAACCACAGTTGCCTGCTTGCAGATTTAGTGAGCAATAAGAAAATTTTTGTTTGTCCAGGCTGTTTTAAGGGGAAAACCTTTTAAGAGTATGACAACTCCTATTCCGTGAAATATGTCCATAAACCAAACTACGAAGGTGATCGATAAATGTAGTGAGCTTGCTCAGACGAAACCTGTCTAACTCTTAAGGGACCAGCTAGTCACAACACCAACAGAAGCCTGTGCAGCTGGTGCAGAGGCTGGGGATGGTGACAGCAGTTGGAAGTACAGCTACAGGCTGACATTTAGGTCTGGTGACTTATCAAATAAGGGAAACAGAAGAAAGGAAAAGAGCTTTATTTGAGAACTAATGTAATTCTCATTCTCTCTCTCTCTCTCTCTCTCTCTCTCTCTCTCTCTCACACACACACACACACACACACACACACACACACACCACCAAAAACCACTTCCATTTTGTTTCTGAAGATTTCAAAATCCAACTTCTATACTTTTTAAAGATTCAACATGATGTTTTTGTTCTTACAGAAAATACGTATACACGTATACATGGAAGGACACTGTCATCATGGGGACCTCTCAGAAATGCCGAAACTTTCCTTAAATCCCCTGTACCAAGGTTATCAAGAAACCTTCAGGAGATGTCAAAAATAGTGAATTCCAAAGAGAGGGAGTTTCTGCTAAGTTGCTGGGTCCAACAAATTCCAATTACAAGACAACCCGCTGTGTGAAGTTAAAAAGGAAAAATGGCTTCCCAAGCTTGTTTGTCTTGGTGGAGACTCAGTGTTCGCAAATGGAAAAATGCAAGGGCTAATTAATTGGCAAACAAAATTCCCCTACCTGTGGAAAAGATTACAAACATCTCACAACGAGTCCACTAAATGGGTTAGGTTAACGACAAATCATGGAAGCCGACACAGAAGCTCTTCGTTGAGCATCACCAGTGCAGAGAACTCCAGTTACCTGCTCTGCGGGAAGCCCCACTGGGGATCGGACAAGCTCCGCAGGCGCCAGCTTGCATCAGCATCAGCACTGGCACTGGTAATACATTGGGTAGTGATAGGAACACTGGTCTGAGAGGAGTTGGCGTCTAATTGTCTGCTGTGCCATTTACCAGATGTTTAATTTTGGCCAAGTTTGCACATCACTTTCTTATTTGTAGAATGGGCATAATACCTACCACAAAGAGGAGTTGTGAGATTAGAGGTAACGTATGAAAGAATCCTTTGCAGACCACAAAAACAATGCATTTTCATTAAATGAAGATACTGCACAGTCTTCTGTTATTTTGGAACTTGTTTTACCCTAAATCACTTTGAGCCCCATAAATATCTGACACATTTCTGGCCAAGAACCCCTTTTTTGCTGATATAATCTGTAGTGGAGACTAAACCTGATATTTTCTTTTAAAACGACAACGCTTTTTTGTACTAACTTTTGCCGATAAGCCACAGGACAGAAACAGCTGATCTACTTAGGAAGCAGGTTCTTTCCAGAGTCACTTCCCTCTTGGCCTCACTCTGTTCCCCTTTCTAGGCGGCCATGTGCCTTTTAACTCCCTTTTCCTACTGCCTTGTGGGCAGATGGGAACAGCACTGTCTGGTGAGGGTGAATGGGTACCTCGTGACGCTGCATTTCCCAGTGAGACACCCGTAGCACTGTGGTTAAGGACGCGGTAAGCTTCTGTGTATTCCTTTTCCTTGCCCCCGCCCCCCTTTTTTAAACCAGTATTTTTAAATCTCTTATGTATTACTGACCACATATAGGTTGGGGTGATGCAGGAATGATCCATTTTTCCCCAACTTTGTCCCAGTGTATCTGAAAGGAGAACAATTCACAACTCCTTTGTGTAGAAGAAAGTTAATTAGTTTCTGTTGAAATAGGTTCATAGTGAAACAATCAGAAGAGGCATCCATTCTCCATCCATCATCTTAAAAGGTTCAGCGGAGTCAGCTGTTAGTGTCCTGGGGCTCATGACAATTATTTGTCATTGTTAAGATTTCTAAAAGTACGGCACACCAAGCTTTTTAGTAGACTACAAGCTTCTTTAGGAAAAGGCTTGTTCCTTAGTCATCTTGATAACCTCAGGGCCTCACTGAAAGAATCCTCACTGAGCTGGCAGCCTCCATTCCCTCCATTCCTCCTGTTCCTGACTCAACATTTACTAACCAGCGTCTGAATAGACTAACGTTTGGAGTCTGTACGGACAGCAGCCAGTGACTGATCTTTCTGGCCTCAGGCATGCCTTTACGTTTACATGGTTTATGAATCCTCCGTTTTGTGGGTTAATAGTAAAAAAGAAAATGTTCCTTGCTCATGCGTTAATGTATACAAGAGGATTTTATAAATTTTGTCGGAACTTAGCACATGTATTAATATTATTGAGTTTTGGGCTGGCAAGTTAGTCTCATGAGGAGAAAGAACCCATCTATAACACGTCGTTCTCTTCTCACCTCTGCCTCAAAATTCTGAGAGGACAGAGCCTGGTAGTGAGGACTGCTATTTCCACAAAGGGCTTCAACATCTCCTTTTGGGTGGGTGAGTGGGTACTTCATTCCTCAGTTGACTGATGTCCACTAGCGTTGGCCAAGATCGCCTGGTCCACCCCGCCCCTTCACCCCCGCCAGCTGCTAGATTCCCCTAAAGGAGAATTACCCTGGTTATGGCTCTGCTAGACAGTGGACAAAAGATGATCTCTCCTTCCCTGGGTGGGAAATTGATCAAAAGCAAGGTCACTGGTTTCAATAATGTCAAAACAGAATCCCTGAGTTCTACGGAAGACATAGTTTATCTCTGTAAATTGTGAGAAAGAATACAGGCAAATCTCTCAAAAACTAAAAGTTACTAAAATTTTAGACCAAAGAACTAATAATTCTTCATTTCATGGACTGGTGATGAACATGTTACTGCTTTGCTAAATACCGGACTAAATATGCTGCAAAGTTACAATCTATTAAAAAGATGTCCAAATGCCAGCCAATGTCCCACTCACTTCAAACCACACTTGGCCCAGCCACAGCCATGTGGCCGGCCTCCAGAGCAGGCTCTGGAAATAAATGTCTGCCTCGCCAGTCCCTGCAGCATCTCTGAAGCTTCCTAAGCTTTTTCATCCACGTGAAGGAGAATATGAAGGCAGCTTTTACTTACTTCCTTAATTGACAGTCCCTCAATCTGGAGAAAGAAAGAACTATGTGGTTCTAGTTGTCCTTGTAAATGTTCTTGACATTTTGAGGCAATGGCCAAGGCCCTCTGAGAGCAGCAAACATTCTCATTAAACTTCTAGAACTGCAGAATTTCTTATGCTGGGAGGCCCTTCCAGTGCCTTTTTAAGGGGCTCTGAGGCACATCCCAAATCCAGTCCTATAATCAAGATGCGGAAACCATTCACCTTGTCAGTGCCTAAAATATATGGAAATAATCGTAATGCTACCTTAAACACATACAGCATTTAATTTACGAGGTACTTCCGAGCATTTTCTCAGTTAATCTTCAGTACGACCCTGAGGGGAAAGTTGTAATCTCTTCCGTTTCAAGTTTTATTCACAGATAAAGCTTAGAAGTAAAATGGCTGGTCCCAACATCTCAGCCCCAGGGCCAGGATCAAATCTAGGTCCAGGTCTCTTACCTGAATGCTTTCCCATATCTCCCCTATCAGCTTACCTAAATGCTTACCCCATACCTTCCCATCAGCTGTGCCTGGAGCAGACAAAGCAGTGTGTCCAAGGGAGTTTGGAAAACCTACCTGTTGGCAAGCGAACAGGACAGGGCCGGTGGCTAACCCAAGCTTCAGATCTGCCGACGTTGGTTTGCCCATCCGGTCAGAACACGAGGTGAAGTCCAACACGTCGTCTATTAGCTGGCGGAAGGGAAAGAGGGGCATCTAGAGCACCACATCCCGCATCGCGGCTGCCCCTCCCGCTGTGCCAACAGGCCACGTTCTTAAAAAGCAGCAGACCAACCTGAAAGGCTATTCCCACGTTTTTCCCGTATTGATAGGCAATCTCATGCACCGCTGGATCAGGGCATCCGAGGACAGAGACCTGAAGCAGAGAGAGAATTCTGAAATAAGCTGCTGGCAGGCCCGAGCCGGGCAGCCCCAGTCTGTGTGCACAGATGCATCCATCCGGTCCCTCAAATGAGAGGCAGTGAGGCTGGTCAGGAGATACTGCAGCAGAGGGAGATCAAACATGCATACGATACTGGTGCTTTTAATAAAAGGATGTCAGCTTCAGACGGTTTTTTCAAATTTTAAGGAAACCACCTTCCACCCCTTTCCCAGGATAAGTCATCTTTCCCACTGCTTCCGGCACTCGGTGCTAAACCTGGCCTAAATGTTGGCTTTATTTTTATTTTTCTATTGATGTAGACCTTATTTTAGGGCTAGCTAGTCTGATCTAATCACACATGATGTTGCTATATATGTATTTCCTCATTTGTAGTTTCTTTTAATACTAAATTTTTGGTGATTTCACTTATTTCTCAAATGCAGCTATTTCCTCACATGTGTGAAACAGCCTCAGACCTCGCGCTTCTGACATCCTGTTTTCTCATTCTCAAGGGTCTTCATGGTCCTACTGCTCCTGTATTTCTCTTGCAAGAAGTAATTAACTACATGGAAACTTTTTTTTCCCTTTCTTTTTCAGTGGAGGAGAAGTAAGACTTCTAAGCACTTTTTAAAACTCAAAAAAAAACTAGCTGGCTCCGGCACTTGAGTGCCTTTCCCACTGCTCTGCTAAGCAGACCCTGCCACATTTCCAGAAAACAAAGACTGGGTAAAAACCGAAAGGAGGGAACAGGAATGAGGTCTACTCCACCGGAGAGGAAATGTCTACGCTGACTCCATGAGAAAGGCAGACGAGGTGCGGTCTCCTTCCCGAGGTGGGTCACTGATGATGAAGGATCCTGTCCTTCGTGACCCTCTGGTCGGCACCCTCTTTGCTCAGGCATCTGTGTAGCCCAGTGGTGCAGACTCTGCGGTTAGCCTGCCAGGGGCGTGTAAATACGCCACGTATTACCACGTGAGCTTAGCGTATTACTTGGTATTTCTGGGCTTCAGTTTCCTCATCTGTAAAACGCAGGATCAAAAGCACTTAGCTCATAGGGCTGCTGTGAGGAACACACGCGATGCTGCTTTTAAACCTCAGCAGAGTGCTGGGCATCTGGCCATAACACTAGATGTTTGCTGTTGTTGTTAATTATCCTCCTCCTCCCCTTCTCCTAGGTGCAGGAACAGGAGCTGGGTAGTGTCCATGCTCCGAGGCTAATTAAAGCCAGATCATACAATCTGGGCAACATTCTCTTAGCCCTGAGAATGTTTTTGATGACTTAATGAAGTCTGTGACCGCGTTAATGTTTGGCTGCAGGTCCTTGATACAAATTTGCCTGTCACGAAAGGTCAGGTGGCCACTTGAATGAATAACAAACTCACAACCGCTTTCAACGGCACAGACCTGACCACTGACAGGCACGGATCCACGTACAGGAAGAGATTCCTCTTTTCAACCAAACTAAAGAATCCATGACACCAGCTGGGAGACGATTTAGAAATTTTGACAAGAGTCAAGATAGCCATCAACTTGGCCGAAAGAGTAAGTGTGGTAAGATCTGGGCAGCCGAGGATGTGCTGAGCTCAGAACACAATGACACCCCCTTTCCAGGCAGAAATAACTCAGAGAGCGAGCCTGTTCATGCTGTTACTTCAACACAAAACAGCACAGAAATGCCAGCTTTCTTCCTGAAAAGTAAGAGATATTTAAAAACTCTCTTCTATTTCTAAACTCACTGGATTAAAATTTATGGAGTACATATGATGAGCACTTTACATTATCTTAGTTAAGCTGCACAGTGTCCCAGAAGCATTTCTTTTGTGGTTGATGATGATAAGAGCGAACAATTACCAAGCCCTCATCATATGCCAGGAGCTATTCTGAGATTTCTCGTGTATTAACTCACTTACGGGCCAGGCCTGGAGGCACAGAGAGCACCAGATGTTACAGGGCTGGGAAACGGTGGAATGAGAATTTGAACCCAAGAGTCGGACTCCAGAGACCATTCTCTTAATCACTTTATTACACTGCTTCCAAGGGGCGCAAAACAGAAGCCCAAAGAAGTCAAATCATGTGCCCGAGGAAGCAGAAAGCTGTGTGGTCTGGGCGCACCGCCCACAGCTCACATGCTACCACAGAAACGAGTGATACTTAGTGGGCAGCTTCCGCTTCATAGGCGGGGAAGGGACATTTCTGCCCAGATTTCCACGCCTGGGGTGCAAAGACCGTTCCTCAGTGCCCAGAGAATCCCGCCCCCCCACGCTGGGTAAGGATCGCCTGGATCCGCCCCGTGCAGGTGGAGAAGTCACAAGCCGTGCAACACAAAAAGCACAGAGGAGGTGTGCGGACAGGACACAAGCGCTTCTTGTGCTCAGCGTCAGGGGAGAGGTGCCTCTTAGCTTTCCAGATGTGGGTGGAGGATGAGGAATGACAGGGGAAAAGAAAGTGGAGCCTGGCTAACCTTTCTGTTGGAAGCAGGCCCACAGCAGGTCCTGCTGTACGCGTGTGGCTCTTCTGGGGGAAGAGGAGGAAGGTCTCAGAACGTTCTCATGAGCCTGGTCTCAGAGAGGCTGGGGAGCACAGGCTGCATTGCAGGGACCAGCACTTGGTGTTCATCAAGCATCTCTGTGTCACCAAGGAAGTTAAGACATCTATCCTGAAGACACACAGATGCCTCGTGTCTTCTTTATTAAAAAAATGGTGGAGATTATTGGAGCTCCATTCTTACATACAAAATATCGAAATGGGTGTTGTCATGTCAAAAACCAACTAAAAATACTGGGGGAGAATATATGCAACATAATATCATAGATAAAGTGCTAATATTCTTACTATATAAAGAGCTCTTTTTTGTTTTGTTTTAAAGTATATTTATTTTGAGAGAGAGAGAGACAGCGAGGGAGGGGCAGAGAGGGAGGAAGAGAGAGAGAATCCCAAGCAGGCTCCAGGCTGCTAGCGCAGAGATCATGACCTGAACAGAAATCAAGAGGTGGATGCTCAACGCACTGGGCTGCCCAGACGCCCCTGTAAAGAGCTCTTTAAAACTAGGGGCGTGGGGGGACCAAACACGTTAGAAGATGGGCAAAAGACACTGGCAAATAACAAAAACTGAAGATATAAAAATGGCCCTTAAGCACCTGAAATGTTCAAGTTCACTTAGAAGGGAGAAATGCAAATTAAAACCCCACTGCAATAACATTTTCTCATCTATCAAACTGGCAAAAACTGAAAAGCCTTACAACACATTCAGTGAGCGAGGCTGTGGGCAAACAGGCAAGAAGCTCACATACCCTGGTGGTGAGAACATCTGAGAGTACAGTCCTTACGGAGGGAAACATGGTGGGGCAAGAACCACACACACGACTACCTTCAAATACACCCAGAAGGTACACTGCTAACAATTCATAAACACTGGAGCGCCTGAGTGGCTCAGTTGGTTAAGCGTCCAAATTCAGCTCAGGTCATGATCTCGCAGTTCACGAGTTGGAGCCCCGCATTGGGCTCTGTGCTGACAGCTTGGAGCCTGGAGCTTGCTTCAGATTCTGTGTCTCCCCCCACCTCTGCACCTCCCCCACTCATGCCCTTGGGCTTGCGCGCGCTCTCGTCTCTCTCTCAAGAATAAAGAAACGTTAAAAAATAAAAATAAAAAACATACTTGCATAAGGTTAGGCACTATAGTATTATTTGTAACTGTAAACTACTAGAAGCCTAAACACCCATATATAGGAGTGGCTGAGAAAACCACGGTATATCCACTCGATAGGATACGAAGCAGCTGTTTAAAAAATGAGGAAGAGGGGCTCCTGGGTGGCTCAGCTGGTTGAGAGTCTAACTCTTGATTTTGGCTCAGGCCATGATCTTATGGTCATGAGATGGAGCCCGCCTCAGGCTCTGTGCCGCGTGTGGAGCCTGCTTAAAATTCTCTCTCCCTCTCTCTCTCTCTCTCTCTCAATACAATACAATACAATACAATACAATACAATACAATGAGAGGAAGATTCTACAGAGCAGCATGGGATGATATCCCTGATACACTGTTAATTGAAGAAAGCAAGGTGCAAAGGTCAGACAGACACAGAAAAGGTAGCACAGCATCCTACTTTTCCTTGCAAGAAAGAAGGGGAAACAACATGCATGTGGGGCTGTTCATCTGTGTAAAAAGAAACACAGGAAGGAGGAAGCAGAAGCAAAGAGACTGGTCACTCACAGGGTGGGTGGAAAGGATGAGGAGGGGGACGGGACACATGGGAATGGTGGGCAAGTACCAGTCTGTATACACTTCTGACTTAAGGAGCTAGGTTAGCATTTCATACGCTCAAAACCACACCAACAGCCTCCAACCCCTGCAAAAACAAAATCGGTTAAGAATGGGAGGGGACCTCTAAAATGGAGTAAAAAATAATCTAGCTTATATTTCAAATAATAATATAACCACACTGAAAAGAGGTAACTTCGAACACAGATTTTTGATTATATTATCCTCAGGCTAAAGACAAAAAGGAACTATAAACAAATACTGAACTACTAGGTTTTTATTTTTTACAGAGATAGGAGTTACCAATTTTTAAACCCCTCTGGTATATTCTAGGGGACTGAGCAAATAAATATATTGTGGAGAATGGGAGTCAAGCTTCTCATTCTTGGGGAGAGGAGCTACAGATACAGTGGACCTCTGAGCAACATGGGGGTCAGGGGTGCTGACACCCCTCCACGTCCTGTGCAGGTGGCAATCTGCATATAATTTTTGACTCCCCTGAAACTTAACTATTAATAGCCCACTGTTGACCAGAAGCCTCACTGATGACACATCCGATTAACACATACTCTGTATACGTATTATATACTACATCCTTACAATAAAGCTATAGAAAATGTTCTTTAAAAAATCATTAGGAGAAACTACTTTCATAGTACTATACTGTATTTATTAAAAAGAAAAAAGATAACCCGCATATAAGGATCTGTGCTGTTCTAACCTATGTTGTTCAAAGGTC